TATACAATCCGTATTTTTCAAGTCTTGATGAATTGCATACCTGTTGTTTTGAATTCGACAAGTCTCTGTGGCGAATCAATTGGAAATATCACAATAACAGATATCGATACTTATAGAATAAAATTTTACGGATTTGGAATTTTAGAATTTCAATTAGTCCAATGAAACGAGACCTCTACGGTATGTAAAACGTCTAGTTTTCTTTCATCCGGTGCTTTATCAAAGAGGGGTGGGCAGCAGGTCAGCCTTATCTGGTCCGCTGCATCTCTTAACTTCGACCAAGGTCAAGGTGAGCGCGGCGCCAGGCTGGAGCCAATTGTTAACATAAACAAACGCGGAGTGAATAATTCGCGAATCTGCCGCCCGGATGCTAAACGGCACGTTGAATTCATCAAGAAACCGAAAATTTATTACATTTGGCGAGCATTAAACGATGAATAATCTTTTATCAATCAAGTGATGTCTGGTACTCTGGCTGATCAGATGCGAGAGATTCAAATAAATCAGATGGTGGAGAAGTCGCGGAACTAGTGTGTTGAATTTATACACAAGATAAACATTTCTCTCCCACAATTTAAAATTTAGACGATGTGAATGTCTCCAATAATGTTACGCAACTGCCACTTCAGCGAACAGATTTATATTCACGACAGTTTCATGTGTAGTTAGCGACTTAAACGGATCTCAGTTTATTTTAAACCACGGCCAGTTTCGGCCGCGAGAGAATCATGATTTGTTTATGTGTGTACACTTGTACATATGTTGTCACATTTCTTACAATATAATATTCATTTAGTAGTTTATTATGTATTATCACGTATTACAGTGTATGAGTGTAGTATTTAATACCAATAACAATAAGTTCGCTGTTGTTACTTCGACAACACAATTTTATCGTCTCGTCTCGTGTGAATAATACCACTATTCCCGCACATAATAACGTCAAACCTTACAAGAATCCTTATAGAAAACGTGATTCTGAAACAGAGGACAATTGTTCTTTACTATTTATCACTTTATTGTTCAGCGAGGTTAGATTGTGGCTAATGTAATCTTTATTAGGTACGGGTTAAAGTTTAGAATTGGAGCCATGTTTCTTAGTTCGTGGCCGGTCATCATGCCCGTTATCGCTGGTATCGCTGCGCACGCGCCACAAACGACCGCTTGTATGATTTACAACGTTTCTCATTGAGGGTTGCTATTGTTGGTTTAACAGCTTCGACTACGATTACACAATCGGATCTTTTGACGCTTGTCGAAAGCCATCTCGTGACGATGTCGTGGCGAGGTATAACTACTAGACCGCTCTAGATCATTCTGTTGCGCGAAGTGGATGGTATTTCACGTTTTCGCTCTTTGTTGTAGCCACAATATGACCATTAGTTAACAATTTGCCCTTTTGACAGTGCAGTTAGTAGTAGCCGCCGGAGTTTGGGTATTATTTAAATTATATTTGGTTCTACTCGTGTCGGTTATTTTCTGAGGAATGCATAAATCTATACAAGCTGTACATGTTGTAAGAATGTATCATTTGGCAGATGTTCCAGTCATCCCAATTAGAGATAATCAGTTATACACGCCATTCGGAAGATGCACCGCTAATTTACTATAACATCACGAATCGGAGCACCTAATTTGGTGATTTGCCAAAATGGACTTCACTTTGTGATATAAGTAGAGACATTAACAATTCTACGTCATCACCGTCGGCTTACAGGGAATTATCATTCATTTTAATGTTGGCTAAGTATCACGATGGGTATTAAAACTTATGGCGGTTTAGCGTGTCCACATGTAACGATGTCATTTGAACCATGAGTCATGTAATTTCTAGTGGTGCAAATGCACTTTTTATGCAAGCAATAATGAGTTTTCTGATGTTTCTGTCATCATGAGTGTGCTAAAATCCATCATATAGAAAATTCCAAGAAATCTGAGCCTGCCACGATTGTTGGAAACCTATTTAATAGAGCTTGTTTCCTTATGGTGAAGTTGTTATTATTTTCCTTCTGTGATTTTATCTTAATACCTAGTTATTTACTTGTTGAAATGATTGGTATTATCGCATAAAATGATGTAACCTTTCAGTATTTTAAATCACCTTTTTGGCACACGTCTACACCACTCCTTTCTAACCTTAGTCCATTACAATCATGACCTGTTAAATTACATTTGAACACAAAATAATTATTAGTTGCTGATACTGATATTATCATTGGACTTTTTTGACCTTCGGAATAACCTTGTCTCCTTAGGAACTGCAGGCGAAATGCACTCGCGGTCGTGTGATGCAATAGTCGCTAGTTTATGTTGATGAAATTAGATATTTTTCACTGTCATTAAAATTACAAAGTTTGTCCAATTAAATTGTTCAATATGAAGCCTAAGTCTGTTTACTAAAACTTACATAAAGCCGTGCTGCAGACATTGTTAATAGTGGTGAAGATGGTGATACACATTAATTTTCCTAGACATACAAACTCTTATACCATAAAAGATCCAAGTATGTAAAATAAACACTAATTTTATAACTCGACGCTTCTTCTTCTTTTCGTGTCGACAACAAACCTACACAGTGTCAGCCCAAAACTCCGCCACAAGAGTGGCGTTGTCGCTGTCGTGTATATTAACAACCTGTAACATGCTGCAATGTCCTCCTGTCCTTCAGTTTTAAAATAGTGCTTTGTCACGGTAACTGGCGGTCAACCAAGAGTTGCATGCATTGCATGGGTTTGTCGAGGCCACTTGCATTCTCACCCATGCAGCCATGGTCAAAGGCCAATCCAGACAGCTTGTCAGTCAGGGTTAGCATTACATAGACGGACGTTTCAGAGTACATTATGATTTTAACCGATACAATAAACCTTGGCCATTCATGTTTATCCTTTACCGCTTATTCTCACAGCTATAAAACCGCAGCAAACTGCTTTGATTCGTTGTATGAACTTATCAATCAAATTTTATGATTGGGTGTTTTCTATTCTGCTAACTGAAAGAAACTTGAGTTGCCATTGCCATACACGCCAAACCCTTTTCTGTCCACCAGTGCTCTTATTGCAAAGACTTCTTTCTTTATAACTTGTACTGAGAGGTCATTATTTAACTCGTTCACACTAAAGAAATTATGTGCGTCACATGAAGAATAATTACCGTATTTACAACGCTTTCAAGAGACCTTTTGAATATTACTACTCGTATAGTATTGCGCATTACTTAACATTTTCTCGCAACTTTCATTAAAAAGGATTTATAATATCAACAGTCTCGAGGAATATTTTGCGACAGCTTCATAATATGAAATTAATAGCAACGGTGCAATTACGAATGTAATTGAAATAATACAAGATTTTTAAACTTTAATAAAAAGGTACACAAGGAATTTGCATGTTGACAGGTTTTAATTAAATAACATGATTCGCAATAATTAAAACATATCAATTTACCAAGTCGGAACGACGACTGCCAGAATGTCCTTTGTTGCAAATTCAAACTTCCTCATCACGCCATGTGACGTCACATAACCTTACTTTTGACTGTTTTATAATAATAACAACGGATATTAATGATCTACTCGGAAATTGGAAATAATTTTATTATAATGCGTGTTTTAATATAAAACACAGACACGGAAATACCTGAGTGGGAAAATTTATTACAAGGAATACGAAAACCTGGAGATATAAGTAGTTCACAACTTCAAGCGCGGAAGTCTTCCGTAGAAAGTGGGGTAGCTAAGCACTTTTGCTTAATTGCAGTTGTTGAATGGTGAAGTTACGTCTGCTTCTCTGATTCTACACACTTTTTCTTGGAATGTGTGTTTATAGTGCTATGGCGAATGCCTTTCATTATGGGAAGTTATTTAATTGTCGGCCTGATCACGCGAGGTGGTCGTTACGCCTTACGAAAGCTTTAAAAATACTTTACATACAAGCTTATTTTTTCTGCAACATTGAATTTTTTAACAATTTTATCCTGCACAACGCATTTATGAAGCAATGAAGTTTATACACTTTTGAATTTATAGCACAGCTCATATTACTGCTGTAAATTAGTTTTGTATTCTTAGAATTGTGTGCTCTACATTTTAAAATCGATGCTACAGACATTTAATTTTTAAACCAGGTAAGATTTGAATCATATTCACAGTTTGTAATTGCAGAACTTCTTAGAATATCGATGATAGACTCACTTAAGGAAACAATTAGGTGTGTTTCTCATTTAGTGTAACAATAGAATAGCCTTGAGACCGGCGTCGCAGCGGCTGGGCCGGCTGGCAGCGACGGCCGCCTGTAGCCGTCCATTCATACTCTAGATGCGTTCCGTTTGACATTATTTCTAGTTCGTTGATGTGCCTCGGCTAATTGCCTGTACTCGCCCACTCTCGGCTGCGTGTTCCTTTTATGTTTCCAAGTCTTGAGTGGCATCTGAATCGAAAACCTCGACGCTGCCACGTGAAATGACACGCCATTCGTGCCACTGTTTCCTTTGTCTATGAATGAAACTAATGCGAAAATCTTAACAATTGTAATCACTGGGTATTTGTACAAAATGTCTTGCAGTTTTTAATTTCTGAAAAACGCATCGATGCGGAATGCTTGCTTGCCAGAATCCTAATTATAACTGACACCCCCGATGTCTTGCCACTAACTGAACATCACTGCTTATATTGATCTTCACCCCGCTGAGAATGCTCTGCTTCGCTCGGCTGTTTGTAGTCTTAACAAGAGTCGATACCTTTGAATCTAGTTAACTAATGAACTTGGCGGGATATCCCTGTTGATATTTGATCAGTATTATCCATGTTAACATCCTTTAGTCACATTTAGTGTTAATATCATCCGATTTTGAGAATTTAGCTTATCTGCTCCAATGTCTTTAATCCAGAATAAACTTAAACTTTTGGAATCATAGTTTTGACGAGAGTTTTGGAGCAGGTAGGCGTATTACATATCAGTTCGCGTTGAGGCTAGGGCACTGGTGACGTGGTGGTGTGTCGGCAGCATCAGCGGGCTGGCGATGGCGCTGGGGGGCAGCGGCGCCGGCAGCCCCGGGGCCGCAGCGGAGCCCCGCGAGCCAACGGCGGCGTCGTCACGCGCTCCCTCGCCGCCGCCCAACCATCAGCAACACTCCAGGTAGACACGCTCCACGCTCGGAACGTTTCGCTTCTTTTGGCTATGGCTGGTTTTGGTTTATGGAGATTGTTACTTCGCAGACCGATGCTACTCTTCTTGATTCGATCTGTTTCATTGATCTGCTCATTTTCTTGTTAGTTTCTGTTATTAAATCAGCTAACATGATATTTGACAGTTCAATGAATAAGGTCGCCTGTCAAGAAATTTAATCTGTTTGCAAAGCTGTGATCTCCGATTTCATAACGGTGTTGGTATTATTTTTTTTTACTTTTATGTGACCACAGTAGTTGTAATGTTATTGTATTATTTTCAAATGCCATGTAAACGTTCCTAGTTTGTGTGCATGCTTGCCTGATGAGTGTTTTTTATTTCGTTTCTTGTGGATTTAGAGGTTTTGTTTTCGTCTTGTTTCTCATATTGTCGTGTTGTATTTATATGTTCTTAGTTATAGTCTGTTAAATGTCGACGTTTTAAATATTAAGCTTGTACTATGAACGTTATTATAACGCAATTTGTACCAAAATTTTGCACATTGTAAAGACACCGTCTTTGAGATAAAAGAGTTCATATCCAAACCAAAGAAGTAATCAACTTTAATCACCGCTTAAATCGCACAATGTCAATGTCGTAAGTCTTCCAAACGACGAATGAATGATGTTTCCCAAAATAAGCGGTAATTACTAATTAGTCAGTAACGTCTGCCATTCAAAGCATAACGTAAGTCATGATCTCACGCGATGTTTAATGTTGGCGTCTATCACGATGAATTATATGGGCTAGTTAATTTAAAAGGCGTGTCATTTTAGCACTAAATGTAATTGTTATACACGCAATCAATCCCAAGATTTCACAAAAAATCAGAAACCTATAGTCATGAAAACTAAACAAACTACTTGGCTAGCTTCATAGGAACTATTCACATCCGTATTCTAATTGTGTTATTATCATCTTCTCTAACTCAAAGTCCAAATAAGAAGCTTGCGGAATTATTCCAAAGCAAGATGTATTTGTCGATCGGTCATCATAACTCGATGCGTCCAAAATGGCGGCTTACGTCACCCGCCCGAAATAGAACGCGCTTTCAATACGATCTCATTGTAGATTTTTTACTTGCCAGTGTTGCCAGTAGGGCTGCCAGCTCTAAACTTAAGTATACCAATATTTTGATGAGCTTTGTACTGATATTATGACAAAAAATATCAACTGACTATTACTTTAGTCTTTATCAATCAAACCGAATCCCTCAGATCATCTCTTTGAAACATTTCACTTATAAGTTTCAACAAAAAATATATTTTCAGTAGCTAGATATGAATAATAATACAATAAAGTTAATTTGAAGCCTGACGCAATCAAGATATAAGAACTAATCAGACGTTCAGAAAGACTGACAAAGGTGACTGAGGTTCTTGCGCTGCTTCTTCTCAGCACTGTCCAATTTATTAACCCGAAGCAGTGGTAGGGTAGGTTATAGTAATACTCGGACGTGTAAAAAAGTCCTTTTCCAGCAAATCGATTACTTTTGACTTTAAAGTTTTAACCAAGCGGTTACTGTCAGACGCCTGCCACCCCTAGCTATGGGTTGTTGACTCTTACGTTTGGATGTCAAAGCAAGGGTAAACGCAATGCAGAACTTGTGAATTATTAAGCGTTGAAAGAATCTTATTTTGCTCGGTGAAAGTTAGGGTGTATCTGGCTATGATTACCGGCATTTGGCGTAGGTTTGTTGTTAGATTGTTAGACGTTGATTTTGTTTACTTGTTGTAACTTTGATTACTTTTATTAAGTTAACGAGTGTTGGTTTCTATTTTTGTATTTGAAGAATTAGAAAGAAAACTAATTTATTTGATTCAAACACAATAATAAATAATTTGACAGAATTTATTGAACCAAAATCACACCTATACAGCGTGAGTCAGAACATGATGCTGGTATTCTGTTCTGTACGAACGAATAAAATTTTAAGTTTTGAACTTGGATGATTCATTAAAATATCATTTTCTCGAAGTAATTATCTTCAAATTGCATTGGTGCAGTTGAATAAACTGGAACCTTATTCCCGTTTGTCAATGACAAGACCTTGAGGGTCAAAATTGTAAGAACGGAAGTGATTAAACGGTTATAACTGCATGAACACATTCGTCGGTGATGACCGACAATCATAAATCCTCTCTTCATATTTATGTGTTTGTTCGTTCATTTGTTTCTTGTTCTGAAACATCTGGAAAATCCTGAAACTTCTGGAATTAACTTTGCTAGTAACAGCTGCCGTGGTTGCAGTGATGGTTAAGATGTGGATTGCCAAAATTTTCCTTAATATTTAACTTGGAAAAATAGACGTGATCCATGCATAGGTAGACGCCAATGTTCGGAAAATATTAAACTACATAATATGTGATAATGCTTGCTGCTACTATAATAGGGACTAACATCAGATAAATGGTTTCAAAAACGTTTTTCAGTCTGCACTGAACTCTTATGTCAATCTGGGTAGTAACGATTTAATCCATACGTTCATCCAAATAAAAGGTAGAATAGTTACCTAAGCATGATGACTGAATCCTGTTTTATTTATTGTCATTCAACGCGCAAGTTACTATCCGACTATCAGCTCTATTATACAAATATTCAGATCAGAATCGAGCACCTCCCGACAATGTGACCGCACATAAAATTTGCTAACATTATGGACCTGAAGATGTATTCTGAAGCATAAGAATTCGAATACGAAGTCACACAATCGCTTACGAATTGAAAAAACATATTGGAGGTTGGAGGCGATTCTTGCATCGAATTACGGTACCCGGTAAGATACGAAGCTTACACAATGATGCAAAAATAAAAGAAAGAATAACAAATGAGGCCAGTTTGTTCGAAGACAGCCAACAAATGATGCAGGCAGGTTAATTTAGGAGGGCTCGGAAATAAATTAATGAATTAATTGTTAATGAACAAAAACCACTTTGAAGATAACAATTAACGTAGCGTCCTTTTTGAAGATGAATAATGTGTTTCAAACAGATGCCATGGGTGCCATGGGTTTATTTGTTACTAGCTTTCCGCCCGCGGCTTCGCCCGCGTGGTATTTTGTCTGTCACAGAAAAACTTTATCGCGCGCGTCCCTGTTTCAAAAACCGGGATAAAAACTATCCTATGTTCTTTCCCGGGACTCAAACTATCTCTATGCCAAATTTCATCAAAATCGGTTGCGAGGTTTAAGCGGGAAAGCGTAACAGACAGACAGACAGACAGAGTTACTTTCGCATTTATATTATTAGTTGGGATTAGTTGGGATAGTTGAATGTATGTGCGTGCATGATCTCATTCATGAACTGACAAAAAGTTTTAGTTTTTTTTATTTAATGCCTGATTACATTATAATGACACACAAAAATCAACAAAACTGCTATTCATCGATTTACTACCTATCCTTATATGATTTAATTCATTAAGCCCACAAAAACTTACCACACATGTCATTAAGTTTTTGCTCCCATAACAAAGGTTATTCTTCAAGGTGAAAAAAAGTTGATGAATGAATAAACCCAGATATGGTCACTGGTAAATGGCGATCTTCGTCCAATGTTTGATTAGAGCGAGGAACGGTATTTGAAAATGTGTTTCCAAGTATTCGCTAATAAGAACATTAAATAAGTGACCGTGAGCAGTTGAGAGCGATTATCGAGCTGTAATTGCTCACTTCGCTCGCTCGAGCTAAATACATAGTTGGTTATATTCAACAGGGTTGTCACGTGTTTAGAGACAAATAAATCAAAGCATAATTTCTCTCGCTATGAAGCGAAAGATTATGAAATCTTTATTTGCATTAATTTGGCAACGTGAGTAACATTATTATGACTTTTATTTCATTCCGTTATTTCAATTAATTTATTATCTCTATGTAAATAAAACATATTTTTAAGGACCTACTTGCTCTTGATAACAATCTATGATTGATCGCAATCTATGGTGGAGCGAGCGCTTTCCCCATAAGATGTTACAGATAAGATAGGAAAGTTTGTTACCGTGACTAATTTTGAGTTATTATAGTAATGAATTTTGCATTAAAATTGTTGTATTTTGCAAGTTTATGATGACTTTAGCAGGGATAAAAATACACATGCTTGCCGACCCTGTGCAGCAGTAGCGTGAATTATGCCCACAATTAAAGAACGTGTGCTGTTTCTCCTCAAGCAAACCCACCCGGCTTCTTCCCTCGGGACTTTTTTACTCGGGAAAGTATGCGTTTCCGTCAATTACAGCAGTAGCATAGTTAAATATGGCAAGCGATTATGACAAGTTCATGTTATGTATATGCAGTTAGCATGAAAGCAGATTATGAATAATTTAGTAGACGATAAATCAAAGATCTGAGATACTAAGTAAAGATTTTATGTTAGCATTACGTGCGTCATCATGATTTGATCTTATGAAGGATCTAAGCCTAAGGTCATGTAATCAATCAATCAATATTATATTGTGATCATGGGGCTTTGCATTACTATGCACTTAATAAACACTAGCTTCTGTCCGCGGCTTCGCCCGCGTGAATTTCAGTGTCATCAAGATACCATAATTTATTAATTTGGTAATAAGGTCAATGGCATTTGCACCTTGAGAAATGATAGGTTGCTCAATGCTCATACATCTACTCGTCTATCTATGAAAATGTAAAAATTAGTTTGATGACAATATCTGATCGAAGTTTACTAATCTTAGTACTATTTATCGTAAAATTTAAATTAAGAAAAAAACATATAATTATGTACATATATTTGTTAATTTGCAAGCATCCTGCCTGTCATGAACAGACACGAAATGAAAACAAACCCACGTTCGTTTCTTAGCATGTTTGGGCCATAAAAATAATTTACAATCAAAACAAGCCGAAAATATAATGCATAGGTGTAAAACGTGTTATTTTGTAAATTAAGAAAATTGCTGGCTTTAAGTTCGACAGACGCGTGCGCATGAACATGCAGTAAATTTTTTGCGGATTT